GGCCGCGGCACGCTGCCGGGCGGCGGGCCCCCGGGAATGGGCCCAGGCTGATAAGCCAGGTTATCTACGGGCGTTTTCGAACACGATGTCAGTCAGAAATGTCGGTTAAGCGGTTTATCCGTGTGGTCCGGCGCGGAGCGGGGTGTCTGCGAATGGAGGTCGGGTTTTCCTCTCTCGGTGTCGTTGGACGCCCCGCCGCCAGCTGCGAGGGGAATGCCCTTACTATTTCTGTCTCTGTCCTTCAGATTCCCTGTCTGTGCAGCGGTGCCTCGTGTTTACTGTGCCAATGTTGTCCCAACAGCAAGAATTCAACAGTGACGCGTCTTATCTATGCCTTCCTCCTCCTCCTCAGTACCGTTCTTGCCTGCATTATGCTGGCACCGGGCATGGAAGAGCAGCTGAAAAAGGTATGGAGGGGAAAACCTCTTTCTAACTGTTTGCAGAAGCGTTACTTGTGCCGGTGACTATTGATTCTCTTTACTTGGGATGGGTTACGTGAGAGGCACGAACACCCAAATGTGCCTTGTCCCCCGAGTTAAGAGACTGCGGGTACTGAACGGCTTCTAGCTGAAATCGCAAATACAGTGAATGTACATTTTTAAGTACGTGCCTGACCAGACCTGGAGATTGCCAGTGGTTATCAGAGGCCTGCTGCTTTGGTATCTTAATCTTCCTGGATGCTGTTAGTGATGACATAGGGAAAGAAAGACGATAATGTCTGTGCAGGCCGGCTGAGCACAACGTCTTTTGTTAGCAGATCTCCCAGAAGACAGCTGACTGAAAGCCGTAGCTGTTAGAGTGCTTAAAGAATGAAATTGCAAATGCAGACGTAAATTCACAACTAAATGTGTCTTTACTCAGATACCTGGATTTTGTGATGAGGGGCTTCATACTCGCATACCGCATATGGATGGCTTTGTCAGCTGCGATGTGTTTGTTGGATACAGAGCTGTCTATCGGATCAGCTTTGCCATGGCAGTGTTCTTCTTTCTCCTCTCTCTGCTCATGATAGAAGTGAAAACAAGTAATGATCCAAGAGCCTCGGTACACAATGGGTATGTGTGTGAGCCAGCTGTCTGGTCTTCCAGCTTGTTTCCTCTCTCAAGTTTCTTTGCTGAACACAATGGCGAATTGTTTACGCGTACATTGACAGCCTCCAGTTTCTTTTGAACTGAATACAGAGTAACGCTTTAGTCTCCTAAAAAGCTTCCTATTTATGTAACGTGTTCACTGTACTGGTAATGCTCGGAGGTTGGGTAACCTCGGAGCCGGTGCTCTGGGCACCCCTCTGTGTTTCCACAGGGATGCTAGATTTCAGTTAATTTATATCGCCATCCTTGTGCCGACCCTAGTGCTCATTGGGTCATTCACCAGGCCAGTCTGACTCAGTAATCCAGCAGAAACTGGTTTCTGATTCACTGATTTAACTGGGTTAGTTCTGGGCTGGATGACTGAATTGTCATAGAGTCATTTAATTTGAAAGGGACCTTTGGAGATCATGTGATCCAGCCCCCTGGTTAGAGCGGGTTATTCGGGGTCTTGTCTAGTTGAGTTTTGAATGTCTCAAAGGATGGGGATGCTTCGACCTCTCTGGGCAACCTGTGCAATTTCTTGCAATATCCGATTGTAGTTTCTCTTTTTGCAACTTGCATATGTTGCCTCTTGTCCTTCCACTGCGCACCTGCAAGAAGAGTCTGGTTTTGTCGTCTTTCCACCTTCCCTTTAGGCAGCTGAAAACAGCAATTAGATCTCCCCTTTCCCTTCTCCAAGCTGAACAGCGCAGTTAGCCTTCCTCCCTGCAAGGATGAGCTGCTCACTCACGTTCAGCATCTTCATCTGTAATCCCACTGAACACAATTTTTTTTGCTTTAAATTTCTGTTAGACACTCATCTATGTACAGCAAGCTGCTTGCAGACCGTGTAAAACATGACTATTGTGTGCAGAGTAAGACCGGTATTTTCAACTTATATCTTCTTTTAAAGGTTCTGGTTCTTCAAAATAGCTGCCATTGTGGCTATCATGGTTGGAGCGTTTTACATTCCTGAAGGGCCTTTCACAAGAGGTACAGTTAATATGTCATCATGGAATTCTGTTTAATAAACCTTTTCATAGATTTACCAGGCTATAGTTGTGACAGTTATCTTGTAAAAGACACAGATTTCTGTCCTACTTCATTTGAGTATCTTGGTTCATCCGGTATTTTGGTGACCAACTGAAGTTACGGCAATAAGCAATCTCTTTTCAAGTGCACAGGTGGTGTGTATTAATAATTCGGTACCCCATGACACGATCGCTACTGGGCTCAGTCTTCTGACACTCTTTAGATTAGAGGCAGCTCGGAACACTGACAAGTGCTAAATACTTCCCTAGAGTCTCTGAAAAATCTGTGCAAGAAACCTTTACTGTCTGGCCACAACACAGGAACTTGAAAGGGTGGTTGATCCTCGAAGAAATGTGGCATGATGGTACTTATGTATGCAAAGATGTCTTGTGTTAGAGCTTGCGTTCATTCTGAAAACGTTGGGCTAAATATTCCCATGCTCAGCTTGACTAGCATAGGCTGCACCCTTGAACAGCTGGGACTTCTCGCATAGAATCATAGAATCATTGAGGTTGGAAAAGACCTCTAAGATCATCCAGTCCAACCATCGACCCAACACCACCATGCCCACTAAACCATGTCCCTAAGCGCCTCATCTACACGTCTTTTAAATACCTCCAGGGATGGGGACTCCACCCCTTCCCTGGGCAGCCTGTTCCAATGTTTCACCACTCTTTCAGTAAAGAAATTTTTCCTCATGTCCAATCTAAACCTCCCCTGGCGCAACTCGAGGCCGTTTCCTCTCGTCCTATCGCTTGTTACTTGGGAGAAAAGACCGACCCCCACCTCGCTACAACCTCCTTTCAGGTGGTTGTAGAGAGCGATGAGGTCTCCCCTCAGCCTCTCCTTTTCTCCAGGCTAAACAACCCCAGTTCCCTCAGCCGCTCCTCAGCAGACTTGTTCTCCAGACCCCTCACCAGCCTCGTTGCCCTTCTCTGGACACGCTCCAGCACCTCGACGTCCTTCTTGTAGTGAGGGGCCCAAAACTGAACACAGTATTCGAGGTGCGGCCTCACCAGGGCCGAGTACAGGGGCACGATCACTTCCCTCATGTGCATGCTTCTGCACGATGGAGGCCAAAGTGATTAACAGCATCTGCATTTCTGAATATAGTTTCAGATTTTTTCATTATTTGTCTGCAGTATAATTAGAAGCTTTTTATTTTATTTTATTTTTTTAAACTGGGGTAGCATGCAAATGATGAAAGCTAACCCTGTTTTTCTTGCTCCCTTTTCTAGCTTGGTTTGCTATTGGTATTTGTGGAGCCTTCTGCTTCATTCTTATCCAGTTGGTGCTTCTTGTGGACTTTGCTCATTCCTGGAATGAGAACTGGGTTGAGAGAATGGAGGAGGGAAATTCTAAATGTTGGTATGCAGGTAGGAATCTTAACCTGTAAAGGATTTGTTTCTGCTGGCCAGTACTCTGCAGAACATCACTTACTAGTTTGCAAACGTACCTAGAATTACACTCCACAGTCTCCTTGAGTCATAACTGTAAACGTTTGGAATTAATAGCTGCAGTGTTGCCTTCTTCTCATTAAATAACATGTAAAATATTTTAGGCTTGTGATTAGCAGATCTGACAGTCATAACAAACAACACTTGCCTAGTTTGCAGTGCGAGTGCAGAGCTAGTAGCCTGGATCTCTAACTTTGCTTTGCCACCTCCCCTACTGAGGTCCTCGGGAAGTCAGTTATGTCGATGACAGTGGCTGCAGTACAACACAAAGCATGCCTCAGCGCGTGCTCCCGAGCTGACCGCTAAATTACAAAGTGCTAATTGTTGTGGTTCTTCGCTCATAGCTATGGATGCTGCAACAGCATTTTGTAGCTTCTTATAAAGAACGTAGCAGAATGGAAATGAAAATGGGTGGTCTCTAGCATAGAAGGGGGAATTCAGGGCTTATAAATAGCCCATGAGAAGTGTGCGAAGAGCACTCTCATTTTGACACCGTGACTTGACATCAGTTAAACCAATTAAACTGCCGCTGAAAGGCAGGTCTTATTCCCCTGATGGCACCATCGGCTTCCCTCTGAGCTACACTACTTAGTGAGCCAAAGCAGAAATTCAGCCATACCTAATAGAAATGCGTTCTGCTAGTCTAGTTTTCTGAGCCAGACTTCCAGGTGAGGAAGAGGGACTGTCTCATTACAGTGGTAGCTGGTCATTAAATCACCTTAGATGTACTGTTAAACTACATGGGTATTGTAACAGTTAATTTTTTTTTCCCTCCAGCTCTGCTGTCATGTACAAGCTTGTTCTATGCCTTGTCGCTGGTTTTTGTGGTGCTTTTCTATGTTTTCTACACGAAGCCTGATGACTGCACTGAGAACAAGTTCTTCATAAGCATTAATATCATCCTGTGCATTGCTGTCTCCATTGTTTCTACCCTTCCAAAAGTTCAGGTATTATTTTTCTCTGCTATTTTCTTCTGACATACAAAGCAGGGAAGTAAGAAAGATGTAGTACCAATTCAGTCAGACATAAAACTTCAAAATTGGGGTATCATCATAGCTATGCTAGCTAGGAACATTTTAAAAAAAAAAAAAATCTTACTCTGAAACCAATGCACTATGTAGTGACATATTTCCTGAAGATAGGCTTTTTTTGGCTAACATTGTTTTGGACTTTGTTTCCATGTGGGGCACTGCTGGTGTGGTTTTAGTGGTGAACGTTCTGGCAGAACAGAGAAACCCGTTAGGGAAAAGCAAAATAAGCTGGAAATTTATTGGCTTAATACTGTGGCTTTGAAATTATGGGTAAGCGTGTTTAGTATGAGAGGAAGCTTGCATGTTACTTGATTCCAAACTGGTATTACTCAAATAAATCACATGCTAGATTCGTATCTACAAAACTGTTAACAAGTTGGGATTAACTCAGTAAGAAGCCATAACCAAGTCTTGGGCACAGAAAAATTGGATTTGGTTTGCTTATTCCTTCCATGTTTGAGTTGCTCACCGCATAATTTGTATTAGTCTGAGTTTCTTCTGGTCTTTTAAACGTAGAACAGAGCTCACTGCACTTCTAAAAAATAAAGTTTTTCATGCTAGTAATTGTTGAATCTGTGGCAGTAGGGCAAAACCATCCACCTATAGGTAGAACTTGCCCTTTTGACCTTGGCTTGCTATTCTGTCCTTGAACAGGAACATCAGCCTCGCTCTGGCCTCCTCCAGTCCTCTGTTATCACGCTCTACACCATGTATCTCACTTGGTCAGCCATGTCCAATGAGCCTGGTAAGCAACAGGCTGTCGAGTAACAACGTATTTTGGTGTGAAAGCAGAAGCTGTTGATGGGGCTTGCAGTTATTACAGATCACTGTGTGGGGATTGCTGATCTGTCTAGGTAAAAATCTAGTGAGGCACTAAAGCCGACTTCACTGAAACCATCAAATTGTCTCTTTCCAGAACTAAACTGGGGTATTTGTGAGGGGAAAGAAAAGCGTCAGGGCATTCTGATTTTATTTGTTTATTACACCCTTGCCTAGCTCACAGGAAGGAAAAATATTCCATGTCATTGCTGCCTCTGGGGAATTGAAGAGATCAGCAGTTAAAGGGGATGAAAAATTGCAAGCTTATCTGTCACCTTTTCTTAGCTAAATGCTGGCAAAGCTCATCTCTCTTTAATCTGCCTTGAAATCCCTCTCAGAACGAAGCTGTAACCCGAGTTTGCTGAACATCATTACCCAGATAGCTACACCCACAGTTGTTCCGGCAAATACCACTGTCGTACCTGCTACGCCAGCTCCGCCCAAGTCCCTGCAGTGGTGGGATGCCCAGAGTGTTGTTGGATTGGTTATCTTTGTCCTTTGCCTCTTGTATTCCAGGTAGGATCTGCACTGCTATCAAATGATAAACAATAGGGATTTGTCTGCTTTTTTGTTTGAATCTGGGTCTAGTGAAAAACGTACCTGCATTTATTCATATCCAGCTGCGGTCTCAGGCCCAAGCCCTAATACGGCTAATAAAACTGCATTCCGTTTTGTGGATGAGGATAGGCTTTATTAGCCCAATTCAGATAACAGAACAAAATGTGTTATGGGATCTGGACTAGGAACACTGTTTAACTATGTTAACAAAAGCTCGGATGAAAACAGAGCTCTTTGAGGAGCTTCGTTGTGTTTCCAGATGGATTTAAAAACTGTTACTTGCTAGTCCCAGATGTCCACTGTGGTCTGCTGCTTGCTTTATTAGCAAACATAGCTAACTGAAGAGGGAGTTTTTAACCATGTCTATCTTTGGGTTACACTGCAGCATTCGCTCTTCAAGTAACAGCCAGGTGAACAAGCTGACACTGTCTGGGAGTGACAGTGCCATTCTGGAGGATGCTGTGGGAACAGGCAGCGGGGCTGCAGAGGAAGGAGAAGTGCGCCGTGTCATGGATAACGAGAAGGATGGCGTTCAGTACAGCTACACCTTCTTTCACTTCATGCTCTTCCTTGCCTCTCTTTACATCATGATGACACTCACAAACTGGTACAGGTAAGAGCAAGACAGAAAGTGATGGGTTGTATGTGCCAGACAGTGTTTCTAGGTGGGACAGGAGACTCCTGCCCTATAGGCTACTCCTGCCCAGCTGGCTAAGGTGCTGTCCCTATGCCAGTTGCACTGGAGTTGTGCCTTCTCAATTTTGCGTTGCTGAATAAGATGTAAAAAACCTGTAGAAAAAGCCAAGATCAGCAGCTGTAGTCCTAGTGAACTGCTTCACAGCTGCAAGGGCAGAAAGTGTGGTGACCATCCTTCAGATACGCAAGCAGCAGGAAGGTCACGTATCAAACTGGCTTAGGGTGACCTCCTGGGAAGTTTGTCAGAGGCCAGCCTAATGTTACTGGCTCTTCACCCTGGGAAAGATGTGCAGGGACAGCCATACGTGCCACTTAAATGGAGATATGATTTCCTAGATCTGTTGGGAGCACTTGGACATATCCTTTGCTGCTGCAGCTTACAACTGCTTTCCCCAAGACTGCTATATTGTATAAATTAGCAAATATGCTTACAGAGCAGCAGCCATCAGGAGTCTATTGCATAGCTGACTGAGAGATTTCCTTTAGGAGTAGCACATCAACATATGCAACCATTTAAATTCCTGGTTTAGTTGTCTCACCACACTCCTCCCACAAAGGCTCTTGCATCAGAGTGTCCCAAATCATTGTTCTACCTTCAGATTCATGTGAGAGATAGCAAGGAATAGTGGAAGGTGCCTTCTGTATCTGTTAACTGGCTTCTTTACTTTTTAGCCCTGATGCAGATTTTAAAACAATGACAAGCAAGTGGCCAGCCGTGTGGGTGAAGATAACCTCCAGCTGGGTTTGTCTCCTTCTCTACCTTTGGACCCTAGTGGCTCCTCTTGTCCTTACTAATAGGGACTTCAGTTAAATTGCTGCACCTGTCTGAGCTTACAGAAGTGGGGAACTTTTTGCTGAAAGCCAAAATGTTCATGTATTGCTTTAGTTATACTATGTTACTGTTTCTTATGTTAATAAGAACATGCAAGTGGATAGAAAGTTATGTATTGCATAAGGCTTGATGCAGGATCAAAATTATTACCAGTTATCTTCCTATTTTAACATTGTCGTGTTATCTTATGGCTGCATTTTTAAAATTCACTACAGCTGTGCTGGAAAGCACAAAAGAAAGTATCTGTTCTGTAC